TCCCCCTGGTAATAGGGTTGTTCCCCCCAGCTACAGAATAGTGTCCCCCCAGTTATAGGGTAGAGTGCCTCATTATAGGGTAGTGTCCCCCCAGCTACGGGACGGTGACCCCCAGTTATGGGGTTGTCGCCAGAGCTCAGCTAATGAGAAGCCAGCAGCTTCCTGGCAGCCAAAAGTGTGTCTCTGAGGGATCCTAGCTGTGTTCAGACCAGGCACAGACAAGACCCAGCCTGTTTCTTGGAGAAGAGAATGAGGCCTCGTGGCAAACACAGAGCTGGCTCAGAATCTCAGGGACCTCCTTGTGTCCCGGGGACACTCCTGAGCCCCAAGACCCCCTAGAGCCTTTCTCCTCCCCTCCGGACGGTCCTGCAAGTTTCGACAACAAAAGCAATCTGAGGGGCCTCGGAAGACACAAGGCTCATTGCACAAAAGGGTTTATTGAAGCAGCCAAACTCGTGACTGGCTTCATGTTGTCCTTCCAGACAGAACTCCGTCAACAAAGATTCATTTCACTGGAATCCTAAAAACAAAACTAGAATTTTGGAAAACGTTGCATGTTGCATCCAGTGGGGTGAACCCCTTAGAAGTCTAGGAAGAAAAACTGTAGTAAGATCCTAGAACATGCCAGAAAAATGGGCAAAGCTGAAGGGACACCCCATTTCTTTTTTTTTTTAATTTTATTATGTTAATAATAAACCATACATCATTAGTTTTTGATGTAGTGTTCCATGATTCATTGTTCTCATCTAACACCCAGTGCTCCACGCGGAACGTGCCCTCCTTAATACCCATCACCGGGCTAACCCATCCCCCCACCCCCCTCCCCTCTAGAACCCTCAGTTTGTTTTTCAGAGTCCATCGTCTCTCATGGTTTGTCTCCCCCTCCGATCCCCCCAAGGACACCCCATTTCCAAGGGGCCAACCTACACCCAGAAGAATTTTAGCAGCATTACTTGTGCAAGACTGAAAACGAGCAGAATTTTAAGACAAAGGTTGAAACCACTGACTCTCCACGGTTGGCAAGTGTGACCCTACCAGCCCCCTGACGAGCTTTCCAAAGGGTGATTTGACAATAGCCTGAAAAGACCCAAAGATGTGCATTTCACATGGGAAGTCTGCTCCAGCAATTTGTCCACGGTTTCTATATGAAGGGGAGGCTGTGACGGGACTTACTCTGCAGGTGCCTGACTTGGTTGGGGTGCTGCTGCTTGCTGACCGGGAGGCGTGACTTCTGCCAGGAGATCGTCGGGCCCACTTGGGAACTTGCCACCCGGCAGGGGGGCTGTCCTCTCTGTTCGGCAGGGCGGGTGCCACTCCCCTGCCCTGCCTCCTCACCCAGGGTTCCCTGGAGACCCCCGTGAGGGGTGCCCTCGGTTTCTGCCTCCCGATGAAATAAATGGCAGGGTTCACAGCGCTGTTGATGGAAGACAGGAAACATCATGGTGAATGAACCCTGAATCCTTGAGGAAGAACTTGGTACTGAATCGCTCAGGACAAAACTGGATTGTTTCTGCCTCTTGGTGTAGACAGAATGAGAGCCTGTATTCATTTTTTTTAAGTAGACCAGCATGGAGCCCAACGTGGGGCTTGAACTCAGGACCCTGAGATCGAGACCTGAGCTGAGATCAAGAGTCAGACGCTTACCCCATTGAGCCACCCAGACACCTCTTTGTGCATTTTTTAATGGTGGGTTTGGTTAGGTATTTATTTTAATGTGTGCAATACATACATAATAATATAATCAGCACAAGGAACCCGTGGCATTCTGTTGCTCAGAATGGAGCTAAGAGGGAAATAAAGCAAGTTGACTTAAGGAAAAATATTAAATAGTAGTACCCGTGGTCCCAAATGTGCAGCAGTGAGACCAACAACACACACACACACATCTGGGAAATGCCTATCGAGGCAGCACGCAGCACGCAGGCGTGGAGTTCTCGGGACGAGCGCAGTGCACAGCGCCGGAGCGCAGCCCTGGCGCCCTCGGCATCTCTACCCGCAAATGAGCTTTCACTCCCAACTCGCCTTTCTGCGGGTCTTGGTGCTTTCATAGACACCAGGCGTGATCCGATGGCTTTCCCAGGCGGTTCAAGGTCCTGTTCTCATCCCCAGTGTGCCCTGGTGGTCCCCTGCACAGTCCCTCTCTGGGACCCACTGCCCGTCGGAGGGACGGAGAACCGGCTTCCCTTGGCCTCCGATGTTTAAGGAACTTTCTCCGCTTAATTGGATCTTTTGTCCCTGGGGCCCCCGTAGGCACTAGAATCTAAACGTCTCACAATCTCATATCAGGAGAATGATGCACCTCTCATCCGGAAACTTTTTTAAAAGTAAATGAGCTTTCTATTTTAGAACAGTTTTAGGTTTGGGAAAAAAGGTGACAAGACCGTAAAGAGTTCCCGTAGCCCCCCTGCCGCTTCCCCCACTATTAATCTCTTGTTAGAATTAATAAGCTGGTACTGATGATTACTCATTACTAACCAAAGTCCATTAGTTTATTCGATTTCCTTAGTTTTTCCTCAGTGTCCCCCTCCTGTGCCAGGACCCCCCGTCCGTTTAGACATCCCGTCCCCTCAGGCTGCTTTCGGCTGCAACAGCCTCTCAGACTGTCCTTGTTCTTGATGACCTGGACAGTTCCGAGGCAGACGGGTCAGGCACGCCCTAGGACGCCCCTCAGTTGGGGTCTGTCCGGTGTGTGTGCCACAGTCAGACTGGGCTGTGGGTTTGGGAGGAGGACCCCAGGGTGAAGCGCCCTCCCACCCCGGCGCGTCGGGGCCCGTGCTCCCCACCTGATTTGTCCCCGTGACGCTGGCCTTGCTCACCTGGCGGGGTGCGCGTCAGGCCCCCACCACACCGTACTCTCTCCCCTGCTGCGTATGCTGCGCCGTCGGGAAGGAAGTCACTGAGCACCCACGCCTGTGAGTGGACAGTCCACACACACTGCTCGGATCTCCTCCACCTGGAGATTCGGGTCTTCTCCCCCACTCGTTTCTTTATTCCACTATTTATCTGTATCGGGGAACTTGTGAATACTTATACTTGGATCACAACCTGATTCTGTAGTCTGCATTTCGTTGCTCTAATTGTCCCAGCTCTGGTCACCGGGCGTCCTGTCGGCTGCCTCCAGGTCACTCCAACAGACCCGTCAGTGTGGATTCCTGGTTTCACGTGTTCTGACTTTCTGGCTCTTGAAGGTGCCCCAGGCTCGTCTTGGGTATTTCCTGCTTCGATTCCAGAATCAGACATCCACCCAGGAGCGGCTGGTCCCTTTCACTGGGGAATGGTATCAGCAGCCCCGATCAGGTGCAGATGTCCCTGTTCTGGGGGTGTCATTTCTCTGGGGCCCTCTCGTGGACGAAGCCGGGAAACGGACAGTGTAGACCAATCCAGCATTTTTAAAATTCACACGTACAGACTTAGTACCCATTTTCCTCTCCTTTCCTTTCATTTGAACCAAGACAAAATCAAACTTTGGTTTTATAGTAGCTGTCTAAACAGGAAATATAGTAGCATAATTCACCATATTAAGCCATGACAGGAAAACAACAGGTGGTCATATCTGCAAGACGCCGAGATGCTTATTCGGTGGAACAGAACACTGACTTACAATTTGAACGATAATAAGGAATAGAAGGAAACTCTTCAACCTGGAGATCCGATGTCACATGCGATGCAGTTAAAATCATTGCAGTTGAAATCAAATCAAGAGGTTAATGCTAATAGTGAAGGTGCTGAAGGACCCAAGCCTTGCTGTCTCTGGATTGCGGACTGGGCAGTGACCTTGTGGGGGCACCCCCTTCTTTTGCCCCTGGCCATGCCAAGCTCAGTCACCTTTGGACTTGCTGCAGGTCAGGCCCCCTGCTGCCCCACCGTGTACGGATTCATCCTCCCTACGTTTCTCAGACACCTGACGCACCACACCAGCCACGCATCCCGTCCAGCGCCTCACCCACGGCCGGGAGGTCTCCCCATCATGCTCCCCAGCCGGCTGGGGCCTCTGACTCTGTGTCGCCAGCAGACAGTGGGCGACCCTGCTCCAGACCCCGTCCCAGCTCTAGCTCGCTGACCCACTAGGGTCCCCGGGGAAGCAGGCTGCGTGTCAGAGGGCAGCGTGTAGGAGGTCCATCAGGGGTGCCCCTGGGGAAAGGAAGGAACTTGAGAGGAGAGGAAGGAAGGAGGCTTGGCAGCAGGAGAGCTGGAATATTCTGCAGTCTCCATGGAGGCCACAGCTATGGGTAGGCAGCTCAGAAGCTGGGCAGCCCTTCAGCAACGCCTTGATTGGAGCAAAAGGGCCAGACCTCTACCCCCAGGGTCCCATGCAGGCTGCCTGGAGACGGGCATGACCTGGGGGGCGGCACTCTCCCCAACTGAGTCTGTGTGCCAGGGCCTGACAGCTGGGGGCTTTCAGCAGGGGACTCCCTGCCGGTCAGGGAGACATCCCTTCATCCCGGGAGGATCTGGGCAGTACCCATGTGTGTGCACCTCAGGGTTGTACTTAATGAACTGAATCTTAAAGTCTGACCACCAGCACTTTCAAATAGGTGGAACGCCTCAACCCAGTCATTCAGACACATTCTGGTGCCCCTTCCTGATCATTCCACTGCATTCAGAGTCACGCCTACTGTCTCATGGTTATTTTTCTTTCGTTTCCCATTATTTTTCAATGCAGTTCTTGATCCAATAAATTGATTCCATGAACCCCCAGTGGGTTACAGTCTGCACTTTGGAGAACACCCTCACATAGAATTCAAATTGCATTGTCCCCATGTGTCCCCTACTAGGCTACTAAGGGCAGGGCCTGACTTTGAAAACCCGGCATCCCTTACGCCCAGCTGTGTGGCACCCGGCAGAAGTCCCGTCAGCGTTTTAAAATCTAATCTAAGTTCCTAAATCTAATCTCATCTAAGGTCCTCAAATCTAATCTGAGAGCTCTTCCCCGTGCACACAGACAGAACATTTGGATAAAACGTGAGAGCCCACTGGGCGGGTCCCTGTGGTCACTGCGCTGAGTCCCACAGACAGCCCGACCACCAAGGCAGGGTCGCAGCGCCTGCGCCCAGGAACCGGGACGACCACGCGGCCTGGCTCCCTGGCGTCCACCCCGGCCACCTGCAGTCCACTGGCCGGAGACACTGGTCACACGTGTGCTTTCTTGGAGTCGTCCTGAGCAACCGGGAGACCCAGCTCGAACACACACGGACCCTTACAGGACGAGAAATAGTATATTTCTTAGGTTGATCCCGGGCCAAAGTCTTCAGTGAGGTCAGCTCTGCCTGGGTCGGCCCGCATGGGTCACCAGAGCTCGATCTCTCTCTCACTTCTCTTTATATTTTCAAAAATGGAAGTGTAATTGACATACAATGGCCTGTTGGTTTTGGGTGTGCATCAGAGTGATTCGATATCTCTACACATTATGGGACCTTAAGTTACTCGGGTATTACTGACTCTGTTCCCTGGGCTGTACTTTGCATCCCTGGGACTTGTGCCTCTGTTGGTCCCCTTCATGGTTCTGCCCACCCCGGGGAGCCACCCATGTGTTCTCTGTATTTGTGACTCAGTTTGTGTTTTGTGTTGTCTGTTTGGTCCCACCTACGAGTGAAATCAGACGGTATTTGTCTTTCTCTGTCCGACTTCATTCACTTGGCATCACTGACCCTGTAACATCGCAAGCGGCAAGATCCCGTTCTTTCCTACGGCTGAATGATACACCGTTGTGTGTTCACCACATCCTCAATGTTCAGCCATCGCTTCCATGGCCGGCTCTTGTGAGTGGTGCCTCCGCGAAACAGAGATGCTGAGACCTCTCTGGGTTGGGGTTTTCGTTTTCTTTGGATAAATACCCCAGAGTGGTGTTGCTGAGTCCCTCGGGTCTGCTTCCGACCCTTTGGTTTCCCTTCTTAGCGGTTACCACTACGTAAACTCACACGAGGCAGAGACCCCTCCTGATCTATTCGCAGGTCCATCCTCTTGCGCCAAAAAGAAGTTTATAGGACAGATGGTGCTCCCTGAGCATCTCAGGCATCTTCCGTGGCGCGGAGAGAACTGAACATCCGTGGACGAGCTTCGCCGAAGGGAGATGATCACAGGACCCGGTGAGCCTCCAGACCGGGGCGCCGGAGGCAGGGGACAGGGTGTCAGGGCTTCTGAAGGCCTCTGTCCCCGGCTCTTGCTTCTTCACTGTGCTGTTAGTAGTCGGCTATGCCCACGCCCTCTGTCGTCGTCTTTTTGAACTATTTATTTATTTTAGAGAGAGAGCGCCTGAGCGAGAGGGGCAGAGGGAGATGGAGAGAGAATCTCAAGCAGACTCCACACTGGCTGCAGAGCTGGACACGGGCCTGGACCCCACGACCCTGAGATCATGACCTGAGCTGAAACCAAGAGTCGGACGCTCCCCAGACGGAGCCCCACCCCCTGTGACGTGTTGGGGACACAGTGGTCAAGAACACCTGTGTGCCCACGACCTGAGTCTCCTGCACCTGGAGAGAGGCACGCCTCTCTGCTTCCCAGGTCCGGGCCTGCTGTCCGCGGGCACGACTGCACACGCCAACGTGCACACGCCCCGCTGCAGGG